AAAAATGGGCTGAGTATTCCTCTGATTGGGTATTAATATCCAGAAGATATTAAAAATCAAAAATTACACTAAAAGCAACCAAATAACCCATTCAATAGATGAGCAAAAGAACTAAACAGCAACTTCTTAAAAGAAACACAAATGGCCAATAAATATATAAAAAAAATGTTCAACAGCTCTAGCATTCAGGAAAATGAAAATCAAAACTACAGTAATATTTCATCTTTCTCCAGTCAGATTGACAATGACCAATAATAAAAAAAAACAATAAATACTGATGAGAATGTGGGGGAGAAGGGTATACTTGTACACTGTTGGTGGGACTGCAGACTAGTACATCCACTTTGAAAAGCAGTATGGAGATTCCTCAAAAAAACTAGGGATGAAACTGCCATATGACCCAGGTATCCCACTCCTTGGTATTTTCCCAAAATAACTAAAATCAGCATACTATACAAAACATTTACCTCAATATTTATAGCAGCACAATTCACAATAGCTAAATTATGGAATCAACCCAGATGCCTGTCAATTGATGAATGGATTAATGTGTACATATACATAATGGAGTTCTACTCAGCCATTAAGAAGAATATAATTATGGCATTTGTTGATAAATGGATGGAAATGAAGAACATCATGCTAAATGAAATAAGCCAAACTCAGAAACTCACATGTGGAAGCTAGAATAAAATAAAAGAAAGGGGGAGGAAAGGATGGGATATTATAAAGATACAGGGAAGATCAGTAACATAGAATGAGGAGATCTAGAGAGAGTGGAGGGATGGGTAATGGGAGGCAATGCAGAATTAATTCTTAAATAATGTTATGTGCATGTATAATATAAATATACCAAAGGGAATTTCACCTTTATGTATAAGTAAAAAGAACCAATCAAATATAAACAGAGGCACTAAAGGAAGTTTACTACAATAGAGGAGGGAGAAGGAGGAAGGGAGGAAAAGGGGGAGGGAAAAGGGGGATCATAAACTGAAACTGAGGTCCATGCATGCATAATTTTCTCAGGATGAACCCAACTACTATGTATGTATAACAATATAGCTCTCATTAAAAAAGAAAAGGCTGGCAATGTAGCTCAGAGATAATATTTCTGGGTTCAATCCCTAATACTGAAAAGAAGATACCAATAATAGTGGGAAAGGAAACATTCCATTATAGAATTCAATTAATTAATATAATTTTTTTTTAAATTAAAATCACCATTTGTCACTGTAATAAATATTCAGGTCAAAAAATTACTAGATGCTAAAACTGTGGGCAAAAGTATGATGAGAAATAATTTTTTTTTACAGACATCATTCAGTCAAATAAAAAAATAGGAAAAAATGTACACACTCTTTCACAGTCACAGGACATACACATATATAAACAGATGCATAAGACTAAAGACACATAGGTAGGTAAATGAATATAATTGGACATGATGGGGTAAGCAAACTGGTAACAACAATAAAACTGAATTAAATATTTTAAACAGAAATGTGCCACCAACCACATATACACTGTTTTTTCACAGTAGACATTCCTGAAAAGTTCAGCATATTTAAAATTACTGTGGAAACTGACTAATTAAAGAATCATAAGATAATTTTTTCTTTAAAGTCAATTATCTACCATAAGTTATAGTTGTTTTATAAATCTATTTTTTAATATTGTGATTATGTAAAATCAGACAACCTGTAATAGCAATTGCTTTTAAATTGCATTTAACTTACCTCACTCTTCATAAATATGAATTTAGAGATCAAACTCTGATCTTGTTAAGTCCAAAGCTCCATCTACCATCATGCTATGCTACTTCTTCTAACATCAGCAGGAAGAGATGCAATCTCTGCCATCATTTCTATTGTACCTTCTGTGTCACCCCCCCCCCAAAAAAGTAGCAGAAGTCCAAATACTCTGAATACTAACTAAATCTCTATTGACTACATACAAAGGAAGCAGTATAAGAGTTGTTAATGGAAAAGAATCTGAGTCAAATTGTCCAAATTAAAATTTTCCAGCTCTACAACTTACTATCTGTGATTTTTGGCAAATTATTTATCCTCTATGATTTGTATTTTCCTCATCTGCAATAATGGTATTTACCTAATAAGTCTGTTATGAAGACAAGTGTTCATCATGCATGAAGCCCAGGATTTGATCCCCAGCACCGCCCACCACACATATACATGATTAATTATGACAATGTCTATTACCTAACTAGCAAAGTGCCTAGGATATAATAAACACTCAAAAATGTAAACTATAATGATAATAAAGACAATGATGACAAACTGTTTCTATGATTTTAGAGGAAAAATTATTTCATGGCCACAAACCACAATCCTGCCCTTGATGAATACTTGCCACTGGTTACAAGGCACATAATATATTTAAATTAGAGAAATCTACCCACTTTACTGCACAAAAACCAACTTAATAACATTTGGATAGTAAAAGTAGTGTAATTTTACATTGTACATATATCCATATCTATAAATTTAAGTATATACCCTACTGAGTCAGTCTATACAAGTATGATTATCTTATAAAAATATGCTATTTTCTACACTAATTAAAACAACAACAACAACAACAATAATAATAAGAGAGGGGAGATTAGTAAAGTAAAACAAGATCAGGGGAAGGAAGGAGGGGAGAGAAAGAGAAGATATTAGGCAATGAAATGAGTCTGATTATGTTCTATGCATATATGGATATAGCATGATGAATCCCACTATTACATAAAATTATAATGCATCAATAAAAAAGGCAAAAACTGATATTCCCATTTCAATCTAAACCTCCCTTTTTCTCTTGTTGCTCTCCTTTCAATTACTTTATGCCACCTAATGAACACTGTTTGAGAAAATCTACATGTTGTGATATCCAATCTTGGTATGACATTAAGATAAAGAAATCACTTAACTATGAAACAATAAAGCAATGTAAGTAGCAATATTCTTCCTGATATAAGGACCTAAATACTAGACTACTTCAGTCAACAACTAGCCCACTACCATCCAGTTTCTCTCTGAAGAAGGTCACCAATATCGTTAGCACTACTATGGAGAGCAGATACCATTCATATTTTTGACATAATTAAAACTTTCATCCAACTAGGATATCAATGTGTGAAGCACGAAAATCAAATCTCTAGCTTAACAAAGGTATAATATTCTAATAATAAGAAAATGGAATGCAAAATGACTTTTAAAAATCACAGAGGAGGAAAAAGGAAAAGAACTGTAATTTCTTCATGAACACTACTTTAAGATCCAAGAAAACAAGCTTGCCCCCATGTTTTGTCAATCATAAAAAGAAACATCATTTTTAATATAAATTGATGTGTAGGGTTGCTATACATACCTGTGTAATTGGTATCTGGTGCACATAAAATTAATAGCAATGCCGACATAAAAAAGAGACAAATATTTAATGAAATATCCACAAAATCTTTGCCCCCAGGGACAAATGCCATAAGCAGTAGATACTAAGATGTTTTCAAAATGAACTATTTTTAATAGCACAACTGTAGTTTCAACAACAGTCTACAGCTCTCTTGACTGGCTACACCTTACCCCATTAATGATGTTCTGCATCAAAAAAGCAATTTCAAATTATTTATTTACTTTGATGGAGGAAAATTATATCATGCATAATTTAAAATATTTGATATGTATGATTTTTCAGCAGATTTGCCATCATAATTGTATTGTGCTCACAGTAATATGAAAGTAAGTTTTCATACCTTGAGTACACACTTTCTGAAGAACAGAAAGAGGGCAATGTGGTCTGAGGCATGCTGAGTGCTGTAGGGAAGCTAGACAGCTAACTTAAAAGGACTTAGATAAGCTATAACATGGCAACTGCAGAATTGATAGTCACTCAACCATGTGAAGGCCTAAGCCATGATCTCATATTAAAGTGTTTTTAAAACCACCCATTATGATCACTCAAATAAAACATTTAAATAATTTGTCACACACTTATTCTTTAGAGGTTAAGTGAAATTAGGGATGATAGATACAGGCAGGAGAACATTTTCTGTGACAAACTCATTCATTCATTTGCATCTACCTCTCATCACCAGAAGGATAGTGGGTGGGACTACCCAGATACCCTTCTGGAGAGAATTTAAGTATTAATTCTAAATTCCTAAAACCCAGTGGATCTTTTTGCTCTGTCATTTCACATATACATCCTCTCCCACTCTCCTTTTAACTCAGAAAAGCTCATTCTGTTTGGAAAAAAAACACAAGAATTATTTCTTTTAAATAGGTGATGAGCAAATTCTCAATTTGTTCAGCTGTCTTTGTGAATTAAAAAAAAGGAAACAAACAAAAACCATCACTTAAAAAAAAAAAAAAAAAGACACTCAGAAGACCTGAAGCCTGAGGCCATCTGTCTTTACCTCACTTTGCTTGGTAGGATACCTTAGCATTTGTATAGCAAGGATGTCAATGGGGGAAAGCAGGTCATTGGCTTTTACTGACCAGTGGTTCATGTTGCTTAAGGAAAGAGGAAAGGGGACGAACTTCTATGGAGTCGCCTACTACTTTGATGGAAGCTGGATTTTAGAATGCCCGAAATATTAAACTATAGGCAAAGTTTAAAAAAAGAGTGCGTGGGCTGGGTACAAGTAGTGAAAAGGTTAGCCGGCGGGCTGGGAAACACCCTAAGGCAGAGGAGGGGAGGAAAAGTTTTAAATACCCACCAGAGGCTAGTGATCCATTAATAATCGTCTCCCACCCTGCCTCTGCTCTTGCCCCAGAAGAGCTATCTGCTGGGAAGCAAGTAACCCTATTTTTAAACACTTAAAACTCTCCCTTGGACTTCAGAAGGCTTGAGTTACCAGCGTCGTAAATAAGATGTTTCTTCCTAAACAAGTGAAAGCAAATTGGAATTCCCTAGACAAGGCGAAGGAGAAAAGAAGGTAAAGGGACAAAAAGTGATTTAAGCCTGAGAATGCGGTGATGGGGCGGGGGAGGACTTACCGCAGCCTCTGCGGGCTGCCCCCAAAGACTCAGGGCCAGTAAGGACAAGCCGGCAGCCAGGGTGACTCCACGCAGTTTCATTCTTCTCCGGCTCCCGCAGTTTCTTCAGCACCCGCACAAAATCCCCGGCTGGCTCGGGCCAACTGACATAATCTTGAGGGTTTATTGGGAGAGAGCTAGAGCAGGAGAGGGACAGCGAGGGTGTCCCAGTTGTGTAGGTCGGCTTGGGTGAAGAGAAAGAAGCTTTTCTAGTAGAGAGAGGGGAAAGAAACAGAAAAAAAAAAAAAAAGAAAGAAAGAAAAAGAAGAGGAGCTATTCTTCCCTCCCCCCTCCCCTCCCCAAAGCCGGTCTCTCGGGAGCACTTTTCCCTTCTGTCCAGACTTGCAAACTTTTTCCTCACTCAAGTCCCACAGATCTACTTTCCGCCCTCTAGTCCCCCTCCCGCACCGCCCCCTCCCCGCCAGCACCAGGGAATTTAAGTATCACTCCGCCACAGCTTTAGACTCCACCAGCAACCTGCGAGGGAGTGACGCTCAGTTATTTGGGGGAGGGAAACTTCTAGACCAGTAGACTGAACACCGCGAGTTCAACTGGGAAGCTTTCCTATTCGTTCATTTGCACCTTCTGTTGGCACTGCTCTTCCCTTCCCAGTTCCACTCATTGGTATGAGCATCAAAGCCAATTACAAATAGACCTGAGCTGGGACTATTTTTTTAGCGGATGGATCTCAGAGAGACTGTGCTTTTTATTGTTAATCATTAGAAACGAATTTTGGTCGCAGCCTTCTGGGCTGCTGGGTGTCTTTGCCATTCAAGTGCTCGCAGAACAAAGTTTCTGTATACAAGTAGAAAGTATAAAAATATTGGAAATATAGAGTTATAGATGAAGAAAATGAACATGTAAGTGTGTGTGAATAGTTGATATGTGTGATATGTACACAAAATTTGGGAACATTGTATGTGTTAGGAATTATTATATGGTTGAATGTTGTCCTAATACAGTCACATTGTTTTATTTAACTACATTGAATTACATAATTAATATTTACCTCCTAACAAAAGGTATTGCTCTTGTGTTTCAGAAGGATATATGGCAAGGGATTAAATCATTTTAGTGCATTTTCCTAATGGGAAATATGTATACAGAGTTGATGGCAGTTGAATTGATATCTCCCAAATAAAGTAGACTTGAACATTACTTTGGAAATCCTGATAGATTATTTTTTAAGTGCCAAAAAGCCCAGAAAATACATTTGTGGACTCCTTGGATCTTTCAGGAAGAATTTGCTGAAGAATTCTTCAGAATATTATAGTTATCTTATTCCCTAGATTTAACCACTTTATAGAACAGAGTATTTTGGATCTGTTTCACGCGGGCCCATTCCTTCTAAGGTTCTGCTGAGTTTAGAGTAAGTAGATTTACAGCTCCAGAGATTCCTCCTTCTCTTCCCAAGTGCTTAGTGTGAAATTAATTAGACTGAGTATTGCATGCATTTTGGCCTGTGTGCACTTTTGGGCCTGTGGATATAGGAGTAATATGCCTAATTCTATTCATATGTAAATTATCAGTAGTTTATGGAAGATATAATGCCTAGTTGTTTAAGTCTTAGTATATTGGTTTCTAGAGGCCTGTGCATAAAGCTGTGAAGACAACTGGAACTGTTGTATGTAGAGATGCCTGAATGTGAGAGACAACCGGCTGCCCAAGGTAGGGGGGATGATTGACAGCACACGGCCACGCCCCGTTCCCCTCCATTCCTTCCTCTCCTGGCGCATGGAACTATCTCCTGAGTGCGGCAAGTTGTAGCGGGCACCGCCGAGCGTTTTTCCCTTTGGGGCACTTCTTATCGGGAAGCTAACTGCTTTTTTCTAAACTGAGCCACTTAGCCCTCTTATTCTGTCCTGAGTAAGAAAGCAGCTGCCGAGCATCAACGGAGTCCCGATGAGCCAGCGCCGCGGAGCCACTTAGTCTCCCGGGACCCAGCGTCTGAGGAGCCGCAAGCATGCACCCTGGGTGAGCAGTTGCTGCCCCGAGCTTCCCTCCTCTTTCCTACTTCGGTCTACTTTGCCAGCCCGGTCTATACTTGTACTTCTGTCACTGTAGAGAAAGTGGAATCAGGCATCAAAAAGGGGTTGGGGGGCTACCGGCGGCCGCAAGACCCTTAGAGCCCAGAGATCCAGTATTACTCACAATCCTTCTCCTTTCAGGTTGTGGCTGCTTCTGGTTTCCTTTTGCCTGGTAGAAGAACTGGCAGAAGCGGTGAGTCTTCTCCTGACCCCTTTCCCCTCCTCCTCTATGGACCCCTTCCTTTCCCCCACCTCTTGTGTTTGTGTTAGGGGGTTACAGAGAGTTGTACCGCGAAACTGACTTCACATCGCTCTCCTTTCTAATGGGAGTTAACAGGGTTCTTGAAGAGGAACAGCAAGCACTGTGTTAGGCTAATGCCCTTGGGACCCAGGCATCTTCCTGTCCTAAAACTTTGTAACGGGTTGGGAAAATAAAAGTAGAAGACATAAGAGGCACACATTTCTGAGCCTCTTCCGGACAACTTAAGATGACTGACATCTGATGCCTTCCTCTGCATCGATCTCCAAAGCAGAAGAAATTTTCCCTGGTCTACAAGAACATGAACACAAGTTTTCAGAGTGGGAGGAGAGCACCAAGGAGTGGGACTTGAAAATTGCTGCAAATATTATAGAAATTAAACTTAGTATTTTCTTCTTAGTCTTTTGACCGTACCAGAAACTAATACCACTATATGATGTTCAGTTTCTACTTGCTATTTTCTTTTCCTGGTTTTCTGTATCATCAGAAAATGAAACGTTAAAGTAGTTAAGTCAGAAAAACTGTATTAAAGTTACCATTTCTTAGACTGTTTTAATATCATTCACAAATCCTATGGAGACTACAGGCAAAGTAATTTCTGCAGACATCATTTCAAGAAAAGTTTAGTGGAGGGCTGGAGTTATAGCTCAGTGGCAGAGCACTTGCCTAGCATGGGCTCCATCCTTAGCACCAGATAAAAATGAACAAATCAAATAAAGGCATTTTGTCCATATACAACTACAAAAATTAACTTTAAAAAGTTGAGTGGATCCCCAAAATCAGGAAAAAAAAAACCCAATGGAATTACAAGGATAATTTCACAAAGGTAAAGTGACCTAAAGAGTCTGAGATGTTGAAGTTTTCCAGTGGACTAACTATGCCAGCAGAAATAAAGTTAACTGTTGAATTCAAATATGAAGTTGTTCTACTATTGAGTATTATTTTACTGTGGTGTTAAAACAACCCTCTTAATAATAGTAGTAATTTACTATATAGATAACAGATAAAAATATATTCAAAATATTTATCTCACTGGTTTTGATCATTTTAGTAGATTGGCTCTGTTTTTAATATTTTAAATATGATTTCTAGAACCATACTTAATTCAAACTAATAAAATCACCTAACATGCTTATGAGAAAATGGAGGACTTCATCCCAGCATATAATGTCTTTAAAAAAATGTCAAAATAAGGTGAAATGTTGTCTCTTATGAAGAGAGGATAATGTCAGAAAACTTAAAATCTAAAACCTTCTGACCCCTTAACTCAGGACATTGGCTTTTATGTGAGTATATTCTACTCTTTGTAAGCAGACATATTGATCTAGGACTCTGTGCACTTTTCCATCTGATTCCTCCATTATACAAGTTTAGTTATGTGTTACCTTGAGGCTCAATAATACATTTATTGAAAATGCCAGATTTTGATTAGTCCACAATTTGTCCAGGAATCTTGCCACTTGTAAAAATGTCATACTTGGGCAGAATACCCTCCAGAAAAACATTTATTTTTAGACTCTGGCTGATCTTACTCAGTGTACTTTTGGGAAAAGCACTATAGATCATTCAATATACTGAAGACTTCCCAGATACTGCATCTTCTCTCATTTGATATGACTGGAAGGTGATGCTTCCATTTCTTCCAAGTATCAGAGTATTCATAATCAAACACTGTTTTGGTGCATAGGTTCTAGATATTTTCTCATTGTTTTACAATGTCATCTGCTATATCAGTGTGCATGAGCATGGTGAGACAAATAAACCTTTAGAGCCACTGATAATACTTTATTGTTTGTCTTATTTAAGTCCATAGTTGCTTCCTTCATTGTGGTTTGATTATGCATGATATATTTTTACCTTGTAAAGATATTCTAATTTTTGGAAAACTGGCAAAAAGAAAGAAGAGAGTCACAGGATACATTCTTAGAGGATGACATGACTTTTTGTGTGTGTGTGTGTGTGTGTGTGTGTGTGTGTGGTGCTGGGGATTGAACCCAGTGCCTGTGCATGTGAGATGTGAGGCAGGCACTC